TATGCTGATTAGCAGGATGGTGGTGACACTGTCGTTGTAATATGGGCCACCACTCATCTAGCTATTATGCCTTACTGCTGCAATCAGAATCTATCCAGTGAGTTGAGGTGAGCACACACTATAGCCTGATCATGCCCTAACGACACTACACATATTGGCTCAGTGGAGGCTGGTCATGATCACATTCTTCAGGTTTCTTCACCTTTCCTTCCCTTTTTTCTTGGGTGAAAAGTATATCCTGGTGGTCTCTCATAAGTGTACCCCTATGGAGCTCATGCCATTTGGTGTTACACTCCATGGGCTTTTCCTTTGGGCACTTTCTGAAGGGAGAACATCTGCATTTAATTTTTGCCTTGCCCTGCTCCTCTACTAATTCCATGTGGGATTTTAGCATTTCTGTGTAAAGAGGTGAGTTAACATTTTCCTAATCTGAAAATGTTAACTTACAATATTTTGTACATTAATGCAGTCTTTCACTATAATAACATAGATTTTTGCATTAGTCATTGTTTACCATATACTCCCAAGGTAACCTAAATAAGTTAAAATAACTTTAATAAATTAAGTAAATGATAACTTCAGTCAGGTTGTAATCCAGCTTGTATCTTTACTTCTAGTAAAGTGATTGATATGAAAATAAACTTTCCAAAATTTGTAAAGCCTAGAAAAAAAAAAGCTTTATTTCTAATTACATGCTGAAAAAAAATAGGGTGGGTAGGTAGGTAGGCATTTGTTTTTACATATTTTTTTTTATGTCCTCAAAAATAGGGTAGGTAGGCAGAGTATTTTTTTCTAATGCAGACATATTTTATGATGTAAATGCAATTGTAATATATCAGATTGTACTTGATGCAAAACACTGTTAGATCAAGTATTATTTAGACCTATGGTCACTACAGAACTTAAATGTAAAAATAAGAAACTCTTTAGGTTAGTTACAGTTGGGTTACTAGGTAAAATATATAATAATAAAAGTATATTGGTGTACTTTGGTGAAAGATTTTCTTGTAGGCAGATTTTGTTGAATAAGACCGATGTCTGTAGCTTTACTTTCTTCTTGGAAATCTTCTCAAGAAGTCGATAAGTCGTTTTAACATTGTTAGAACAACGGGCAAAAGTTGTAGATAGTGGTAAATTGGCCGACGTGTTTCGAATGCGGCCTGCATCCATTATCAAGGCTGAATGTTGTGTGAATTGCGATTACTGTTAGTGGATATTTATAGGCAAGAGGGTGGTGGTATTTAGCTCATTAGGTGGTGCTGTCAACTACATTGGAAGGCGTTGATTGGTGGAATGTTGTATTGTAGCTTGGGGGTTTCTCGCCAAGAAGTAGCAGTGTGCGTTCTGTTCCAGTCGATTGTTTGTTGATTGTGGGGGTTTGCTTTAGAATCTGTATGGCCTCGTGTATCTGGAGCGTTGTGAAGTCGTTAAATCAGCATTTTACTTTAGTGTTTTATACTAGGTCCTGACGTGTGAGTTTTTGGTTGTGGATGCGGGCACAATGTTCTTTGATGGCTTCATTTTGTAGGTACATTGTCAGGCATCTTGACAGCGTCGTAGTAGTCATTCCGATGTAGGAGGTGTTTGCCAGGAGCTCACAGTCTCCTTTATTACACTTGTACTCGTAAATGACGTTCACTTGCTGTAGATCTGTTGTCTTTTTATCGGGGCTGATTTTCATGATAAGGTCCGACGTTGTGGTAGACTTGTAGTAGATGTTGAGTTGTAGTTTTGTGTTCTGTTTCTTTGGTGTAGTATTTTTGTAAACAATATCCTTTAGAATCCGTTCGTCTGTCTTGTATGCAGTGGAGAATTGGTTTTTGTAGTAGACTTTGAGTTGTTCAGTGGAGTTGTCGGTAGTGGTGTTTTTTTGGCGGCTGTCCAGGTATCGTTGAAGTTTCTTGTCGAATGTGGTATTAGTATATCCATTATTGATGAATGTTTGTCGGAGTGTAGCAATTCTGTTGTGAAATAGATTCCAATCTGAGGATATTTTGTAGGTACGGTGGATGAGGCCGTGGATGGTTCCAGTTTTGTATCTTTGAGGGCATTCACTCTGAGCATTGAGGTAGATTCCCTGGCTAGTGGGTTTTTGATAGACAGATGTGGCGAATGTGCTGTTGTTAGCGTCGATATGTACATCCAGAAAATTGATGGTTTTGTCAGTGGCTATTTCGTGGGTGAATTTAAGCACAGAGTTGTCCTGTAGGTTTTGTCAGAGTCTCATTAATTCATCGGTGTGCTTGGTAACGATGAAGCAGTCGTCGACGTCTCTACAGCACAGTGCGGGGTGGTGGTCCTGCAGCACTTGGTTTTCTATGTGACACATGTAAAAGTTGGAGAAAGTTACTCCAAGAGGAGAGCCCATGGCAACTCTGTAGACTTGCTGGTATAGCGAACCATCGATATGTCGGAAAGGTAACCTCGTTATACAGGAGAGTAGGAGTTCACGCATTATTTCTTCAGGTATTTTGAGCAGAGACATGGTCGGGTGTCTGTAAACGTTGTCGCAGATTATGTCTATCGTATCCTGGACTGGTACATTGGTAAATAATGATTCGACGTCCAAGGAAGCAAGTAGTCCCTGTGGATTTGTGGAGTGTAGTAAGAGGAGGAAGTCATCTGTAGATGTTAATTTGTGATATGATTGGCCGTAGAGGGTTGTTGTTTATGAGTTTTTATGGTTCCGTAGATATATCCAGGCGCATAGTCTCCTATGATAGGTTGGAGAACCTTTTCTTACGCTTGTTTGTAAACAGTGGCAATCAATTTATTAACGTCTGTTTTTGGTGTTTTTGTCAGGTCAGTTCTAATCCTCTTAAACTTGTTATTGTTTGATAGAATGGCGTACAATTTTGTCTTATATTCCTGTTTGTCTATGATCACTAGAATATTAGCTTTGTCCGCGCGTCGCACGATGATGTCGTCATGGTTCCTGAGTTCCTTAGGGGCCATACGGAGTTTTGGTGTTAGCAGGGGGTTGTTGTCGTAGTCATGTTGTTTCGTGCTTTCCGCGCGTAGTTGGAACAGAACGCACACTGCTACTTCTTGGCGAGAAACCCCCAAGCCACAATACAACACTCCACCAATCAACGCCTTCCAATGTAGTTGACAGCACCACCTAATGAGCTAAATACCACCACCCTCTTGCCTATAAATATCCACTAACAGTAATCGCAATTCACACAACATTCAGCCTTGATAATGGATGCAGACCGCATTCGAAACACGTCGGCTAATTCACCACTATCTACAACTTTCGGCCGTTGTTTTAACAACGTTAAAACGGCTTATCGACTTCTTGAGAAAATTTCCAAGAAGAAAGTAAACCTACAGACATCGGTCTTATTCAACAAAATCTGCCTAATAAAAGTATAATAAACAATTTTCATGAGGTATGCACTTGAGCAGCTCAGAATAGCTCATAAGTAATGTAATTCGACAGTGTAACATGAACTACAGTTTCTCCAAGTGATTTACAACTTATAATTGCATGAATAGTAGTTAGACATGGTTCAAAGGGCAATAAAACAATAAAATTTAA